GTATCTGTCTATATTTCTGAGATGAGGTATTATGTACACTATTTTCGTTATTCGGACTTTTGTCCTCATCTTTGTTGCCATATTTATCCAATCCTTCAGTATCTGTCTATATTTCTGAGATGAGGTATTATGTACACTATTTACATTATTCGGACTATTGTCCTCATCTTTGTTGCCATATTTATCCGATCCTTCAGTATCTGTCTATATTTCCGAGATGAGGTATTATGTACACTATTTACATTATTCGGACTATTGTCCTCATCTTTGTTGCCATATTTATCCGATCCTTCAGTATCTGTCTATATTTCTGAAATGCGGTATTATGTACACTATTTACATTGGTCGAACTATCTTCCTCATCTTTGTTGCCATATTTATCATGACGTTTCGGTCGTTGTACGCTTTGGCCCTTTTCCTTGCTGAAGACATTATGTTTATAATACCCAGAAATTCATACACAGATGTCCTCAAGGACACATGGCACAGTGAATAAAGGCGTTAGTTAGATCCAGTGACAAGACCCAAAGAGTGTGAGTTCAATACGTGGTTAAGGAGGTTGAGAACTTTGAGAGGGGAATTAACAGTAGATAACTGATAACTGACATCCATTAGCCATGGCACGTGGAACTAAAACAGTCTACCCCAGTGAGCGAAATAAAGTGTTCAGTTTGACATTTCAATCGCCTGAAGAAGGCCGGAGCTTATAAATGAATAATATAAATATAGCAGCAAAGATGAGTCCGAGCAATGTAAAACGTGTACTCTTATTTCGTTCCATTACATAACTAAGGTTCAGAATTCGTGACTTTCGCCGAAGCCACTGAAACATTTACACAATCAGTTTCTCTATTACTACGTTTCTTGTAATAACTAATTTTTGGAATTATTTCCTTGGCTGATTTTACTTTTGATATCAGTCTAGCCAAAATAGAAAAAGAGTCTCAATCTATACACTACAGATATTAGTAATCATTTTAGAACTCACTACTTAAACAAAAGCGAACTGTTTAGTCAACTAATTCCTTTATCACTACGTTTCTTGTGAAGATTTTTATTTAATTAGCACAGATATCTGGGGTTTCTTGAGAACTAATTTGTGTAAATGAGGATAAATATTTTATTTGTATATATTATTAAAATTACTAAGGGAAGTAACCACTCATATATTTACTACACGAAGTTTATTTATCTCCCATCCCATTATTGAGCGTGACAAGATATAAATAAAATCTAAGTACAAAACGGCAATTATACAATGTTGATGAATGGAAAGCATAGTTAAAGATTCATCTGTGAAAACGTTTTCAAGACGAGTAATGACTTAAAAAATATGCCTTTTTTTATTTACAGAATTAGTTATATTGGCATTTTCTCCCAGTCTCTACCAAGTTACCTTGCTAATACATCGAATAATTATTCCTAGTTCCTAGAATTAACCAATTATTTGCAAGGACGCATTAAAAATGTCTGCTTGGCATCTAAGCTAACATGAAATCAAATTACGCACTGGGTCGCAAATTTACGACAGCTGACAATTGGCAGGTCACAATTAATCTTAATTTAAGATGTCTGCCAATGGGAAAAGAAATGATGCGCAACTCTCGAAAAGTTTACAATGATTTCTCCTTTCGCTTTTATCATCATACTTTTCTTTCTTTTGGATCTTGCTTGTTTTCGAACAAAAGAAAAGACTGATTTATCGATCGGTTGCAACTGATTATTTACAATCTTCCTCAATGTTAATCTGGGAGAGAAAAACATGGCCGTCATGCAGTTGGAATTAGAAGGAAATTTGACTTAGCAGCTTTTTATCACGTTTTGATTTTTTGCTTTTTTGTTACTTATGATATTGTTTTGTCTTTTCCTTACATAAACGGTTCGTATGTGTTGCTTGGTGTACATACATGAAAGAAATTCAAAGAAGTTGAAAATTTATTATCCTAACCTTCGTTGTTGTTATCACAGCCTTTCCGTTTTTTATCTGGTGTATGTAGATCCGAGTAACCTACTCCACATTCCGTAGGTAGATAACTAATTAATACCGGATTTATTTTATAAATATATAATCAATGCCGAGTGTTTATAAACAAATTAATACTGGATCTTTTATAAACGCCTAATTAATACATGAATTTTTTTTTTTTTTAGAAACCTATAATTAAAACCATTTTTATTTTAACTTCTATCACAAATACCAGATTTTACGTTGGAAGTTAATAGCTTAAAAAATGTCTATCAATCGAAAATATTATTATACTCTTCATTTAAAAGCGATGTTGCGATGTCATGAGTTTACATGTGTACACAATATGTCTAGTAGCTATCGCTAGAGACAGAATGACAAAACATATAAAAAAATCTCCAAGACTTTGGTCAGTTTTCTCAGACATTGTGGTCTGGAGGGTCTCAATTAACGCACGAATTCTTAATTCATCCACTATCGATTCTAATGTTTTGGGTTCCCAATCCAAGTGGACCAACTATTATAGGAGCCACAGCGACACTAATCTTCCACTCTTTGCTCACTGTTTATTCAAAACACTGGCATGTTTCCAAATGTTCACCCAGTTGCCTATTTCTTCAACTACGTTCACTTCCTCTTTCCTTGTTTATAAATTGGTCTTGTGACTTGGATAGAGTAGTCAGTCTAAATACCAGAATGCTAACTTCACCTCTGTTTTGTTCTAATGTTATTTTTCACATGGCCAATCTCAAATCGTTTGCACAGTTCCCAGTGTATGCCTGTTCTTACCCTATCGTGTTCTGTTTCTTTATTCCTTTTTAGCAGATTTACTTATGATCTGAAATTCTCTCATTTCTGGCCTTCTAGGTTTTAACACTTTTTACTTTGATATAATTGCTCTTGGTACATAAGCATTATTATTATTGTTATTGTTATTATTATTATTATTAGCAGCAGGGGTAGTAGCAATGGAGGCACTATGGAATAATGAATGGCAGCTTGGATTAAGAAATTGGAGAGCCGAGTTCGAATTCCAATCGACGTGCTAATACCCTTGGGAAAATTTCCAGCTATAAACAGCAGGGCATACTGGGTTCTATGGCCTTGGATGGCAACTGGTCTACCACAGATAGAAATGGCAACCTACTGCGGGAAAAATCTGCCTCGCCTAAGCGTGTATCACGCATGGCATATAACTGACTGACTAATGGTAGGAGTAGTAATGATAGTAGTGGTGGTAGTAATAGCGGTGGTAGTAATATTAATCATTTTTATTATTGTTCACACAATACAATCCCCCACAAAACCATTCAAAGGGGAAAGTTAGCAAATAAGGTTTTTGTAAAGGGGTACCGGGAGGTACCCGGGGTGAATATTAAAAGGATACGTAGGTTCGATAATTGTTGACCCTCGACTTCAAGAGGTTTAGATTGTAGCAATCATGGAAGCGGGAAGCATTCTCTCAGTAGATTGCTTAAAAATGCAACAGTTTAGGAGCTATCCGAGTTGAACTTCCTTCTTATCAATGAAATATGAAAGGAATGGGGATGAGTTGACGTCCTGTACCTGACATTATAGAGTTAAGTTGTAACGGTCTGGACTGATAGAACCAAGTTGTAACGGTCTGGACTGATAGAACCAAGTTGTAACGGTCTGGACTGATAGAACCAAGTTGTAACGGTCTGGACTGATAGAACCAAGTTGTAACGGTCTGGACTGATAGAACCAAGTTGTAACGGTCTGGACTGATAGAACCAAGTTGTAACGGTCTGGACTGATAGAACCAAGTTTTAATATCTGGCTGATTTTGCTTAGGACCATGTGACAACTTAGTTTCTTCAGTATCCCAGCACTCAACCCAGTATTTTGCTTGAACTTAAATAATGATGTAATTTGAATAATCAAGTCCATTGCAAATACTCCAGAAATAATAAACACAACCGTCACTTTCACATTCTATTTTTTTTATTCTCTAGCAAATCCACATATCTATCACACTTTTCATTTTCTTTCTATAGAGGTCATATAGTCGAATTTAAATCACTTGCACGATTCCTAATGTATTACCGTTCCTACTCTATCCTGTCTGCTTTTGTAATCATTTTGAGAAAGTTATTTGCAAAATCCGCAATTTGTTAGCATCATAATCATCATCGTTATTTTAAGTTTTTTTTTTATTTAATTTTCTTTTAACTTTTATATATATATATATTTTTAAATTTATATAATATATATATAAATTTATAATATATATATTTTTAATTTCTCCAGCACATATCTATCCCACTTTTCATTTTCTTTCCATAGAACTCATATAGTTGAATTTAAATCATTTGCATAATTTCTAATGTATTACCGTTCCTACTCTATCCTGTCTGCCTTTGTAATCCTTTTGAGAAAGTTATTTGGAAAATATATAATTTGTTAGCATCATAATCATCATCGTTATTTTCAGTTTTTTCTCTTTGTATTCTATTCTGGTATTTTGTTTGTACAAAAGTTACAATGAATCAAAATGTAGTATTTGTCATCTCTTCAGTCTTTCTGGGCTGGAATCACACGCACTTTCTGACCGAGAAGTCTATGAAATGATATTAAGCGGGAAAGAAAAAAATCAAAGAGTAGGTGAAAAAGATGATGTGGAAGAAGAAAGGTAGATTCTAATGAAGTTAAAGAAACAGGTGTAAGGAGAAAATAAACATATATATCCCTAGAGAGACAAAGGAAAAAAATGGAAAGTGAACGAAAACCGATGTAGACAGAATTGCCTTCTGGCTGGTTAAAAGATTGTTTCGTTATTTTTTTTTTACGGCTTATCAACCTTTTGCGCGTTATTTAAAACCAGAAAAGATTTTTTTTAATTTTTTTAAAGGTAATAATGATTTAGTAATACAAGTTTTACAATTAACCGATAGCTTGGGGAGGGAAAAAGGTGTAGACGAAAGTGAATATAACGAACCCAACTTGAATTGGAATTCGGCTCCCCGATTAACAATTCCGAGTCGTTATTCATTACACCAACCGCGCAGCCAAGCTTACAACGTCTGATATTCCCAAGTAGTCATCCATCTTGATACTGACCAGGTTCGACGTTGCTTAACTTCGGTGATCGTATGCGAACCGCTGTTTCAAAAGTGATAAGGCCGTAAGCCCAGATAGAGTAAAAGAAAGATAAAAAAGAGTATCCAGTAGAAAGTATTTGGTGAATCCCTTATTCATTTTTTTTTTTTTTTTTTTTTGTATATGAAGCTGATCTATATTTGTATAATAATTAGGTAAAAACATGGACGGGCAATGAAAATCAGAAAATATAAGTCAGAAAATTAGAAGATACAGATAAAAGGCCTGAGATAATTGCTAATCTTTATCGGCAACACACGTGACATTTCCCTGGATCCCATCAACTTATTATTGTTAATCCTGTCTTTAAGTTAATCGCTCGCCTACTGTCAGTTCGAATTCCAGTCAGATCCATTTCCATTCATTTACAATTGGGGAAGTTATGAATTCTCTTCTTCTCCCCACCCCCACCACCGGCTATGGGTAAATAGCAGGACAAATTGGGTTCTAGAGCCTTGGATGGCAACTGGTTTACTGAGGAAAGAAATGAAAACCTCCTCCAGGAAAAAAATCTGCCTCGTCAGTCATGTATCAAAAGATTCATGATCGCCCAAGCGTGTATCACGCATGGCACATAACTGACTGGCTGTCATAATTGTGTTTTATAACTTGAAACAAAACTTAGAATGACCTCCTCCTTGTGAATGTAGCTGGCTTCATATCTCACTAATGGCATACCGCCAAGTTAGCTCAGAAATCAAAGTTTCAATGTCGACCAATCAAATTATCAGTTATTATTATTATTATTATTATTATTATTATTATTATTATTATCAGTTATTATTATTATTATTATTATTATTATTATTATTATTCTGTAACGGAGTGATACATTAACAATTTTTTCTGGGTTTAATCCGTTCAGTCAGTTATGTGTCACGCGTGATACACGCTTAGGCGATCATGTATCTTTTGATACAGGAATGACGAGGCAAATTTTTCCCGCAGTAGGTTGCCATTTCTTTCTGTGGTAGACCACTTGCCATCCAAGGCTATAGAACCCGGTCTGTCCTGCTATTTACCCATAGTTGGGGGGTGGAGAAGAAGAGGTTTCATACCTTTCCCAAGGGTATTAACACGTAAGTTTGGTTGAGTCGCTGCTCAAAGTTCCCTCCTAAACATGAATATATTTTCTGTGTATCCCTGTCATGCTAAGGTGAATGGGTCTCCCCCATAACATTCTCCCAATACGAAGTGGATGGAGAGCATTCATAATTAAGGTTACTGAAGACAGATATGCTATATAATAAACTACCAAACACATATATGCTGCTTATTTTCCCATTAAAATTCTACTTTTTAAGCTGAATTTTTATTTTTTTTAATTTTATAAAACATTAAAATACGTATGGAAATGTTATTGATAGAAATTAATTTAAGGCTAAAACTATTGTTATTATTTTTCTCTGATAACAATTTTAATTAATTCTGGAAAAAGAAAAGGATTACTTCAACATTAAATACCCAAATGAATGTCATGAAACCAACCAGCATGTTAATATTTATCTATGGAATTCGAACTCGGCTCTCCGATTCCTCAGTCCGTTACGCTACCCATTACTCCATCGTGCCTCTTATTTTCTTTTATTTGCCAATAATATTTTGAAAGACCTGTAAATTTTTATTATTACAAGTTAAGATTATAAAATCGTTGCTTCCACTCTCTTTCCGCTGAACTAAAATAGTACTTCACTTGACTATCTAGTTTAACATTAGCCCTATATAGAATACTATCAATTAAAACTTTCCCATTTAAAGGGCATTTATTTTGATTTCGGCAGTTTGAATAATTAAAAATATTGATACAGCTATCTGAAAGTATTATTGTCAAATGAAGGAAACTAGCGTGGTAAACCCAGACATAAGGTAGCAAATGGTAGCGAGAGCAGAAGCATACAGCGTCAAAAGGGAAAGATGCAACTTTTTCCATTTAGAAAACATTATAAGACTGCAAAAGATGGGGGGGGGTTCTAATATGTTACATAAAAGGAGTGAGCTAATGGTTTATTGTAAACAAAACCAAGTATATATTGACAAATATAGAACCTGGTCTCAAGTTTCATCTTTCATGCTCCCAAACCGTGGAAATGGATTATTTCATTATTTTTCCTGTCACCTTTAAATGAAAGGCACACAATTCTAAGTTTTAATTATATGGAGTTATTTCAGGCATGCGTCTAACGACACGCGTTTATCTGCAAATGGTCATATTAGTACAAGTGACGTTATATCTACCTATCTTTCTCTCTCTCCCCCACACACACATACATAGATGTATAGTGTGTGTGTACGCTCGCACAAACACACACACACATACATATAAATAATATATATGTATGTGTGAGAGAGAGAGAGAAAGATAGGCAGATATAGATTCATACATATACATAATGTATATATATATATATATATATATATATATATATATATATATAGTTGTATATTTAGGCAGCAATTTCGTTTTATGAATCTTTCATTAAAAACGACAGACAATCTACAAAGGTTAAGCTTTTTTATTTAATTTTTCTTGTGTTCGAACAAGAGCTTTCTGATTTATCCTGATGATAATCTCATGCATTAAACTTTCAGTAGCAGCGTGCGGTAAGGAACAACGATATATAATTTTAATGTATATAATTTTTATATTGTATATTTTTGAAAGTCCTGCTTCGTGTAAATATGTGATGGGGGAAAGAGCAGAAATTTCTGAGGCCATTTTCTGCTAGTTTTGTGTTAATATAATAATTTATATTCAAAGTGTATAAATAAGTTTCATATCATCGTTTCCTTCATTCATTTTTCTTGCAAATAAGACAAAAAATTTTCATAATAAAATTCACTTTTATACAAGTTTTCTTTTTTCGTTCGCTGTCGATTACGTGCATATAAATCCAGGCTATGCTTAAAATACCTTCATTACCCAAATCAAAACTCCATTTTTGACTAAATCTGGATAATTAGCCAGAGATTAAAAAAACACGCACACTGCATTAAACTTTGAGTCACTGACGCTTGCACGAATCACCGTTGATTAACAATTTCTTTCTGTTTTTTGCGCTTAGTGTCCGACATTCAGGGCTAAAAATCTGCGAAATTCGCTGGTTCGTTTGCAAATGTCAGTAAATGACCTAAGTATCAGAATATGAATATCTATAAAACATGACGTTTGAATTAATAAAAAATATGGCGGATTAAAAATTAAATTCCATTAATTCTTTAAGGAGAAAAAAACACGACATTTGACACATAAGCACATAGACACGCATATGCTCACACATACACACGCACACATACACTCGCACACATACACGCTCACAAAACTCGCACACACACCTATACATACAGATACACACACACACACACACACACAAAAGTACTGACTCTCACTTTTTCCCCTGCACGGGGGCCGTATGAAAAAATCACATCTGCCTGCTCACGATATGAATATCCTGCCATTGTTAAACAGATCACCTGTCAGATAGCTCACTACTACACACATTAAACATTCAAGATAGACTAGCGACAATTGTACACGAATGACAAATGTAACCTAGTCTACATAGCAACATATCTTGTGCCCGACATGTTGGCTAACCAACGAAACTTAAGTCGCGCACCAAACGTAGGTATATATATATATATATATATTTATTAATATATATTTTCTGTCTCACCACATCGAGCACTGGCAAAATTTGGTGATTATTTATTTGCTTACGTGTGTATACAAGCCAGCACGCGCGTATAAGGTTGCTTATATTTACTATATATATATATATATGTGTGTGTGTGTGTGTGTGTGTGTGTGTGTGTTTGTGTGTGTTTGTGTGTGTGTGTGTGTCTGTCTCTATTTCTGAGATGAGGTATTATGTACACTATTTACATTATTCGGACTATTGTCCTCGTCTTTGTAGGCATGTTTATCACAACGTTTCGGCCGTTGTACGCTCCGGCCTTCTTCAAGTGGTTGGAATGTCGAACTGAACCCTTTATTTCGTTCACTGGGGTAGACTGTCCTAGTTCCACGTGTCATGTCTATGGATATTATCTCCTGTTAATTCCCCTCTGAAAGTTCTCCACTGCCATAACCAGGTATATATTCTCAAATTTAAAATCTTTGCTAAACCAATGCCACACTTGATCTTGTATATAAACACGTGCAACAATATAAAACCCTTACTTTTGGGTTGATAAATTCCCTCAGAGGACGAAACGGGTCGGCTAAGAATAGTTTTCCCTCATGCCTTTTTTATTCTTTTTGTTCCATTACACCCTATCTGAAAATAATTTAACATACACACACGTGTATATATATATATATATATATATATATATATATATATATTACGTACCTATATATATATATATATACGTATATATATATATATATATATATATATATATATATATATATATATATATATATATATATATATATATATATATACATATATATATATATATATATATATATATATAAAAGAACGGTAAGATATATAATCCGGTGTTCTTATAGATATTTTTATTTTTTACAAAATAGTGCTCAATGTAAATTTACAGAGCATTAATGTTATAAATTAATTGATTTAAAATACGTTTTTTTCGCGAAAAAAAAAAAAATTTAAATTAATTATATTTATATATATATATATATATATATATATATATATATATATATATATATATATATATATATATATTAGAAGTAAATTGTGTTCAGAACAATATATGCCAATATTTAATGTATAGGGCTGAATTTATCTTCGGTAAAAATCTTCCACATAAGACTATTTTTCCACCATTTTGTCTTCAAAACAACAATGTCTTTTATTCCTGGGTGCGTCTTTTATAAAACAAACGTACGGTAGTTCACATATAATGAATTTTTATTTCATGAATAAACTACATTTTTTTAAAAATCGTATCCCTGTTATCATAAGTTACATAAATTGCTAAAATTTAATCATTTCATATTTATTGATCGGCCACCAAACAGATTTTTCCAGAATATATTTTCTCCAAGACTTTC